AGGCACGACCCTCATCTTGGTGAAGCAACTCTAAGGCATCTTTTACGACCACGTGTTTACCCCACCCACACCTACCCAAGCTATGAAGACTTTGACTACATGCATGAAAACTCCTTYTTTAGCCATACCACTGCAAGGGATCGTGGGTATTTCATCATCGCTCCAGATTGGGTGTCCGAGAGAAAAGGAATATCACCCCCTAAGCACCGGGAATGATGATGATGATGATGATGATGATGATGATACACTAGACAGAGGCTAGTATACGGATATTATTTGTACAGTGGACATTTTGACATTCTAGAAATTTACAACTAAATTGATTTTTTACTGTGTGAAAGGTTGTTACCATTCTAGAATAACTGAAGATGGCTTAATCTTTTCTTTTGTTTTTATTTAAGATAGACTAAAAAAATAATTATTTTTTACATTATTTTACCATGAGCTCAAAGTTGGGAGAGCAACGGGTACAGTTCATCGTTTGTCGTTAAGAATTCAATCGATAATCGAATCTAATACTGCTTTTTTTTACTATAAAACTCTTTTTTTCTAGTTTGATTAAGAATCTTCGTTCAGTGCCTAGTGAATAGATTATAAAAATGATATGGACATTAAGTTTTATCTATTTAATTAATTACGTACTATTACGTATTAATGGTTCATTATTTGCGAGTTATTTAATAAACATTTATGATGTTAAAGTATTATTGTAATTCTTGGATGCTTAATTAGCTTGTAAGATTTGATTTARAGTCACTGGACTGCATCTTTGTGCATTGTTCACTCTATTACTGTTAGGGTTCACGACAGCTATAGGTGGCCTCTTCAATGCTGGTTGGAAAGAAAAATAGAAAAATCATGAAGATAATTACGGCGGAGGTCCAACCATATACGCCAGGGATTGTTTGATCAAGGAAAAGTTGGCCACCGAATAAATAAAAAGTCTACTCCAAGGATTAGGAATAACTAATTACAAAACTTTCTAAAAGTCTTATATACATTAGTGCTTTGACAATTAAAAAAGAGCTATGATACATTAAAAAATTTAACGTGTACCGTTTTTTCTCCTGATGGAGTATGATGATCTACGCGAATAATTTATCGCCCACAAGAGGCGTGGTTACACGGGACTAACACAGAAACTACATTCAAAYATCATTACTCACTATCTCGCCTGTGATTGGCTAATTGATCTTTGACCTGTGAACCGTGATTCAGCTAATCCTCGATAACATGTGAACTTGAAATGATAGATGAAAATATATATCATTTCAACTTTACTCAGTGTCAGAAAAACGATTATTAATGGTTTTGAATTATTCCCATGAGGAACGAAATAACAAAAGACACGGCGGCCATGTTGGATGATATAACAAAGGAGACTAATGACGAATCTTTTGTTAAATTCATCCAACATGGCGGCTGTTAAAACCATCAATATGAAACAAAAAATTAATTGTAAAGTAGTTCATACGTCCCTTCGATGAAAATCTTCCTGGATTTTCTTGAGATATTCTGACATTTGTACCAGTCGATTTTCCTCATCCTCTGTTCTTCCCAAGACATTTAACACAAACACCATTTTCTGCAGTGTTTTTAATGTTTCTTCTGGTGAATCCAGGACTTGCTGTTGCATTTGGARCGCTTCATCTAAGTACCCCAGCACTTCTTCGTATTTCTCGATTATGGGTTCTGAAGACATGGAAGCTGCGTAGAGAGAAAAATGGAGGGCAGTTAAATACTCATTAGCCATCCCGAGGCAATCCCGAAGCCATCCCGAGGCCATCCCGAGGCCATCCCGAGGCCATCCCGAGGCCATCCCGAGGTCTTGACGAAAAAACCATGTCGAGTTGGCATTACAGTGTATTGTGGGACTGTTATAGGGGACATATCTTAATTTGACGTATGCATTGCAAACTCAACCAAGTTTCCCCCTCAAACTCGGAATGGCTACTTTTCAACTTAAAAAGGTCAAAACCTCACTGAAAAGACTTTACACTTACCTTGCTGAGACAGAATAACACCTTGATCGAATAATGAACGAGCCGTATCTTGATGATCACCTAACAAGGTTTTCCTRTATCTCAATGCTATTTCGTTAGCCTYRACTGCCTTGTCATTATCACCCAGCTCAAGGTAATTCCTGGCAAGCTGACTGTGGGCTGTGGCCGTGAAGGGATGCATACCAAGTTCTTTCACGTAAATCGGCAACACTATCTGCTCTCGAAGCAATACTGCATCAGTGTGCTGTCTCTCAAAAGTGTAAGCGGCTTGTAAAGAAAATAATCAATATTAACTATGGACTAATGAACAGTGCATTAATTCAATGTGATGAAATATGAGACATCATAATTGATTAGGCTGGTAGCTAGGGTGAAGTGGGAGAAGCCTGCCCTTATCTATGCATTTCATTATGTGCAACTGTATCTTTCCATTTTTAGCACTTTTAGATAGAACCCTGTAAGGCTTTTCTCCCTTCATTTTCCATCCATTTCTTCACGGGGACCCGCCATTCTCTAATCCTTAGACAAATGCCAGGCAAATCAGGACATCAATTGTTGATTTGTTAGTTATACATCATATACATCATACCTGCAAAATCATTGCAGCCAACAGCCACCATGACAAGACATTTCCTACTSCTCGGAKTAGATTCCTTGTAACATCGTGAGCGAAYCTTGATTCCATTCTKGATATAATCAAAGCCAACWTCYTTGTGTCCGTWYCTCACTAAGCACTKCCCACCTTTAATAAGAAACCGAGCCTTAGCTTGATCCGATATGGCATCAGATTYCATRATGACTTTYGGCACATCAAATGACACCAGGTCTGAAATCGCCTCCTCTTTAGATGATTCACTAGACTCTGTTTTAAGAGCTTTGAAGGCCTTTAGAAAAYACCAGAKGGCTTCCTCGAGGGCTTTGGGACACATGCAAGGAGCACATAGACACCCTATGACAATCTTAGCGCCACCCAGTATCAGACATTCACAGTACAGCTGTGCCAGGYTWTTGTCATTTTGACAGAGTTGACMAAATTTACAGAGAATCAAMTTYAATGGRTGAGACCTCATTAGCTTGAGTAGGACAGACTGGGAATCRATGAATGACTGGATGCAAAACTGCTTGACTYTAACATCMATTCTGCTGTCTGTGATGCACCATCGAGCTATTTCCCTGATGTTTTCATCTTGTAATCTGTAMTTCTGAATGGCAWACATGCTYCGYGTGCTGAAGAATTCTTCTTCAGTTTGAGAGAGRATGTCAAATGTGTAGRAGATGAAKCTCCACCTGGCTGCCTCAAACACAGATTTCAGGTCTTCTTCTTGTSTTGYCTTSAAGATACCAAAAKACCTGATAGCTGGATGGAGAACGTATGTCTCACTTTTGACGTCATAGGTATTGAGAAAGCAAAACTTTCTTAAYGACTCAAATCCTTCTTSRAGTTGGWKTTCWTYTATTTTACTTCCTTTTGCTATGTGTTGTGCTTCCTTCAGAGTAAAAAGATTTGGGAACACAGACAGAAGAACAAGTACCTCTCTAGAGCACACATTCATCCTTTCAAAGCAAATTCCAAGACAATGGTYWAAACGTTCYTCTTYAGGCAAASAAWTTGGAGAAAGAATTTCCAACYRCTTAYCTGGTGKGYTGCTKGWCAATTTTTTACCCCCAGCTTCCACACTACCAAGYTCAGTYACGACCACCACAGCAGCACATAGCAACAAAGGGATCCCACYACAGCAATGGATGATAGTATCTATTGCGTCTTGGTCTTCTGGTCTGAGTGGCTTGTCAATTCGTGATTTCAGTAATTCGAGAGACTCTTCKTTATTTAACAGGTCCAATTCCATATGTTTGACTTTGATACTAACAAATGAAACTGTTTCCCAGGTKGTCACAATGATTTTTAGTTTTGGTGCAGAYTTGGCAAGATYTTTCAAGAAGCSCTGAAACTCTTCTTTCTTGGSAGAGCCAGAACATTGCSAAGGAAATTCTTCAGGGGTYGAACCTGCTTGGCTGGTGAAATKTTTAGCCATTTTGTCTATTGMGTGRTACATATGGTCAAGGTTCTCTAGGATGAGGACACAGTCTTGGCTTGAGTGAGARAAAWAATCAATAACYTGAGATATTGGACGGTTTGCAGAAGAAGTAATRCCACAGGTTGTCAAGATCTTGTAWGCYAAATCCCTGCAGCTGAAGACATCTTTGGAGTCTACATACACAACACTGTAACCATGTGGGTCTTTAATGATGTCATGTGCAACATTGACAACAAGWGTTGTTTTACCATGTCCWKTAGCAGCACGCATCRAAACCATTTGATACTGGTCATTCGTCAAACTGTCAAACAACTCCTCTTTCTCTTTGTTTCGTCCAATGAGCTCTATGGTTKTTGATGGTATTCCAAAATCTCGTTTGCCTTGCTCGGYTAAAAGAAGAGGAAAAAACCACATGAATGTCRGCTAATTTAGTGMGGCAACCAAAAGAGTCACCTGGCATCAAAAAAGAGTTTTTCCAAAACAACGACAACAAACAAACGAACTTACTTTTTGTGTGTTGTGAATCTTGGATGCCAAACGGCACTTCATTGATAGGAGTAKGGCATCKCCTATCAACATTTTCACCATTCATATCAATCTCTGCAATGCCATCAAGATCAGGGACAATGCCTACTTCTTCAATATTGCTTTCATCATAAGAAATATCTAGAAAATTAATGAAGAATAAAAACGAGCTCTAAGGTTTATTTATTTTTCTGGAAGAAGACAAAGTGCAATTCCTTTATAAAATACCCCCATTAAATTGTATGTTTTTTGAATCTTTAGCAAATTTAATGTATGATGTCACTAATAAGAATGCTCCTGCAAACTATTTACCTTCATAAGTGATGTTCACTAATATAACACTAGATTGTCAGCCTCTAAAAAATTGTATACTTTACCCTCTTGAATAAACATCCAAAAAAAATTGTTTTTCTAGAAATATAGGTGTACGATCGTGGAATAAAATCCCTCTTTGCTTAACAAATGTGTCRAAGAGGGTGTTTAAAAAAGAGAACAGGAGATTGCTTTTTTTCATTACTTAAGAGTAAAGGATACTATGTTTAGATCTCTGAACCAATTGATGATATTTCTCAAATGATCACAAAAACGAGTTAATTTTCTTATTTTATTTAACAAATACTCACTTTCTTTCTTTCAATATTTTTTTCTTTTTATTATTATCAATACATATTTAAATGTTACCCCGTAAGTTTGTAATAAACCATTTGTTTGTACTGATTTATGTTCATAATTATTATTATTACACCTGTTAACTTTCCATTCAACCTGGCTAGATTAGTTTTTACTATTTGCAGGCTGTTGGGTTTTTGTAAATTTATTTATTGATTAATAAAAATAAAAAGTGTGAAAGTGTTAATTATGGGTCATCGGACTCAATTTCTATCAACTTTGATATCCAAACTGTCATCAAACTGAAACATTATCACAGAAACTTGCTGCCTTATTGTTTGTTAGTATGTATTATAAATTGATTGGTACTAATACCTTTGTAGCACTGCACAGTAAATATAAATCTTACAACAAAGTCCCAAGGTATAAACTTACCAATTTTAAAATGAGACTTCAAGATCTTCAAAGCATCATAACGTTTGATTTTCTCCAATGCCTTAGCCACATCATCAATGGTAGTGGATGGTCTAGCTGCGGTCAACCAGCTGATAACTTTCGCAGTTGGACTGTGAACTTCCTTGTCTTTGGGTGGCTCCAAGACATCCATTATGGAAGAGTCAACATTGAAATAATTGCCAAGTTGTCTCCATCCCTGAACACCACCTTGAATATCTTCATTCAGTAAGACTGCAATCGCCTGAAGATCATCTGAACCCACTTTCAAGACYTCACTTGCATTTAAGTCCTTCATATCTGATAAAGGAATGAATTATAGAATTCTTTTTATACACAGATATTATTTACTGTCCCAAAGTCAGTCCAGATAGTGAACGACTTTGCCTGAAGTCATGCATACAAGGAATGAGACCTGTTTTGAAATAAATAATAAATAATGATAAGATAACGAACTTTTCCTAATCTAATCTTATGCTCACCTTCTWYTTTRATAATTTGCTTCACTTTMTTAAGAACATCTTCCCTTCCCATCTYMTGGAAACAATCCATGAAGTCCTTCAAAAGAATGGGTTTCTTGCTGGTTGTGTAAAGATATCGCACCAATGCTACAGTTGGGTTATAATCACTGTACATTGCAAACCTTCGATAAATATCACGAGGTACTCCCAAGTTCTGAGCAAGTTTTTCCCAGTTGCCTAATGGCTTTCTTGCTGAATCAAGTTCTTGTGCAATCTCATCCATAATGTCAGAGGATGAATCTGTAATGACTTCAGACACTTTGTCTTCATCTCTGAATCCTACATTTACAAAAAATTTTTTTAAAATGTTGTATTCCCTAGAAATCTTCTTTATTGAGGATTATAAAGACTGATTTATGGTGCATCCATACATTCAACTCAAGAGCTAAATAGTCATCAGTGCTGCACTTTCAACTTTTCACATGTGTGTTATTTAAATTTTCATTGCTCTTTATTCTAACTTTGTTAAGTTTAAAAGACCTTTCCCTAAATCCCTTGACTGGTCACAAAACAATGGTTTTAAGTCGAGGTTGGAATTGATGAACAAAAGAATCAAGTTCAGTCTCGACTTCAAACCATTGTTATGTGGTCATCCAATCGAATTCGGGAAAGGTCTATTGCTATGGATGGTCCACTTATGATATTCATAAATATATGGTAATGCAAAATATAGCTCAAGTACAAATTTTCCTCTGTTCCCCAGAAAAGTTAAATATACTTTTATTTTATCTTAGTATTACACAGAGTTGAGCTACCAAAGCCATTAATTTAAGGTTGACCTATAAAAAAGGTAATTAGATCAAACTTTTCATAAACTTTATCCATTTTTAGAAGATGGTTACAAAGATGGCACTCTTTTCTTCATGGTTCTTTGACAGTGGGCTGGAGGAGAAAGCATTTAAATATTCTCCCTCTTGATTGTTTATAAATGCCATTATTCTCCTTCCTCACAAATCTTTCTGCCATTTCTTCTTTTTCAAACAAACAAAAATCTTAATAAATTTTCTCCTTTTCCCCTTTATCTGCTAGTTGTCTGTTCTCACTACATTTTCCATTGTTTCTCAACCCTCCTCCCTGATCTGTTCCTCTCTGCTACTTTGAGGGTCGATATGATGGGTTTAGATCTTAACAAAATTTAATATATATATTTATCCTTGTTTGTAACTCTTTTAAGTGCAACAACATTTTGTTGGATTTGATCACTGTGGTATTTGACCAATTTGATCACTTACTGTCGTTAATCTTGATATAAATATCAATTCTTTGTATTACTCCTAATGCATCTTTAAGGTCTTTTATTGTTAATTGCTTCTTTGTTGACTTAAGATATGCAAAGAGCTTGATAGTTGGACTTTCCTCCAGGTAATGTTCACATTGGCGTATCACACAGCTATCAATATTCAGGACATGAGCCAAATGAGACCAGTAGGGTATGGACTTGAATACCCTGTCCAGACATAGTGAAATTTCCATTAGTGCGGTGATGTTCTCTTGTAATTTTTTAATAGGAATGCCTGCAAGCAGTAAAATGAATGCTTTAATCAGTCATCTGATTAAAAAGAATTAATTGAGGCCCCATTGTAGGTTTATTGATGTGTTGTATTCTCCATTGCCATATATTATTCTCTGCACTGGTTCTTCAGTTTTCCTCCCTCCACATTAATCGCATGTGAGTTGAGAGTTGTATACACTCAATCGAAGAATCGTTGTCCGGTTCAGAAACATAGAACATAGGAGCTGAGACCGAAACCTAGTCTCCCCCACAGCCGTTTTCAGTGTCGTCACGCAACGCTTTCTCCCCTGAGTAGCTACTCAAGGGAGAAAGCGTTGCGTGACGACACTGAAAGCGGCTGTGGGGGAGACTAACCGAAACCCGGCCCGGGGACCGAAATGGCACATGGAAAGTACGTTAATTAGATGCATGCTGTGACCCGCGACCGGTGGCACCATCCACTGTTTTTAATACGCGTTTGGCATTCTAAACCGACTGCACGGATGGCGCAAATGAATAAATTATAATATAATTATGTCATTTCCCATGTGCCATTTCGGTCTCAGCTGTTACATGTTTCTGAACCCGAGAACGATTCTTCAATTGAGTATAAACATAGAATATTGAATGTACATTATGTGAGTCGAGGTTTGTATGCAGAGAAAATATTTCCATAACGTTTCTTTTCCTGAATTTCAATTTAGGCTGCATTCATTATGTATGCCTAGAGGAGGGTGGAGCAGGTAAAAATTTTCATTTTTGTCAAACACACTGTTTACTAAAGAAGCACATAGGTGTTATTCCAAATAATCAGAAAATATGAAAGATACTGATTATTTCATTTTAAAGTAGTAAAATATTGATGTACTTTAAATAATTAAGACTCACAAATAAATTTCACCTCCCCCTCCCCCCTCCCCCTCTGGCATATACAATGATGCAGCCTTACGCGCACAAGTATCACAAACAAATAAAAATGCTTTCTAAAAGCCATCACCATTTCTGAAAATGGTAAAAAATACTTCTATTTTAGATGTTCAAACGGCTCCCAGCAATCAGGTCACCCAAACTTTCTAATTTAAGTTCTGTGTCCGATTTTCATTATTTGCTGGCGGATCATTCATACGCTCTGAATTTTCTCGAAAAATAACAGCGGTAGACTTGTGGTAAGGTTCCCTAGTAATTTACCCCCCCCCCCTCCCATATAGCACCGAAAGTAAAATTTCACATTCTTTTTGCCCCACAAGAATGGATACTGCTTGCTGTGCTGTTTTCACACTTTTATGATCACGCGATTATGGAAGAAGATTCTAGAAATCTTTTCTTTTTGATCATGAGAATATGTGTATTCTTCAACGGGTTCGAGAATGTACATGCTTCAGCGATCACTCAAGAATGTCCCAGTTCACATTCTTCAGACTCAAGAATGTACATTCTTCAGGGCTCTAGAATGTGCGCGCGTTGCATTTTTGAGGGGCAAAGAATGCAGGCCCGTAGCTAGGATTTTTGTTGGGGGGGTGCTAATTTACAAAAAGTGGACCAACCATATACTTTATTTTTTAAAAGTCCCATAGGACGCATAGGTATAGATAAATTATTAAAGTAAAATTGATTTTTTTTACTTAGTTTTACGTGAAAATATCATACCAGCCAAAATCTCACTTGCTTAAAAAGCGGAACTTTAGCTCGCGTGGGGGGGGTGCGAATGCACCCCCTGCACCCCCCCTAGCTACGGGCCTGGAATGTAAGTCCCGTACATTCTTGTGGGGCCCAAGAATGTGAAATTTTACTTCCTGCGCTATATGGGGGGGTAAACTACTCCCCCCCCCCCTCTTCTACTGACATCCTTTTTGGTATGGAACGAATAACTGAACATTTGCGAAAGACACTGACTTCTTTAAACATTGCTATATAGGTGTGAATCACAGGCTGCAAATAAGATACCTGGTCAGCAAGTTATAGAACTTACCGCTATTCGTCGCCATGTTGCCGGAGATTGGAAATGGAGGGAAATGGGTGTCTTTTGTGAATATTTGGTCTCAGTTATGAGTTTCCTTTGGAAATTCTTCGATTAGTCTTATCCATTCGGCATTGCGCTAGAGTCCATTGTATCGGATCTTCTGTGGCGATAAGGACACGCTAAAAAAATAAAAAATAAGTTATTATCTTGGTATTTCTGATTCTTGTTCTAATTAATATTTAAACGAAAACGTACTTACAATTCTGTTTCTGCTATTACTAGTTTAAAATTAATCCGGTTCTTGATGTTCTCAGTTCAGCCTCTTGACGTTAACTGCTAGACTTACTGCTATGTTATTTTTTTGTATTTGCTTAAATATTTGTTTTGTATATTCTCTTGAGTATATTGAACTAGATTATTACCAAAAAAGGAAATTTCACTTAAACAATTAAACAAAAGAACTGCACTTCTTTTATCTTACTTATGCTAATGACTCATTGTTCTTATCATGCAGTCCATGAAGCGTTTTGTAGGAATAAAAAGTGAAAGTACGTCTTCTTGCAGACATAATGCAAGATTCTTAGGTACAATCAAGCTAAGATAGTTTCAATTTCCCAATTCCAGCACTATCTACTATAAAAACTAGTATTGGACAACTAAAAAGATCGAATAGTCAAGAGAAATAAAACTTTGATAGCGTTGATTTCGTGGAAACGCCGAGGAGCGTCTTCCTGTTTGTGTTGATCACAAGCCGAGACCAGGAAGCTGAGACTGTGCATTGTGCCACAGGCAGCCCAAACTCCGCTATTGAAAAGCTATTTTTGAAATATCAAAATCTAAAGTATGCCTAATATTTTAATGTTGCTTTCGAATATTAGATGCTACTAATATTTGATGCCATAATAAATGTGGCCCAGCTTCAATGCTACACTCCATATACTAGTATAGGCAGAAACTAATTACGTTATCAAGTGAGGCCAAACACTACTGCATAATCATTTTATTCATCTTCCATGACCTCCATCATCATCAGAGGGTAAATTTAAAATATTATAGGCTAGACAGAAACAAACAGAGTTTGGGCACAAGACTCCTCTTCAGTCTTCCGCCTGAAGACTGTGGAAGGGTAAGAATAGTGGAAATCTCTTTGTCGTTTGTATTTTTCTATTAGGGCATAGGCAGCAGAGATAAGGGGCTAGAGCCCAGCTCAGTCCCCACTTTCATAGTTTTAAATTCCGGTTGCATTTTGCTTGTTTGATTACTTTTAGACCCCCTATTTTTCATTTTCTTCCATCGCCACAGTAGAGCAAATAGACAACCCTTATATTTGATATATTGTCCATCAGATTAAAAAATTGCAACAAATAAAAAATAGTACAAAAGACTTTGCACTAATTCATGTTTAAACAAAATCTTATCACTGCCATTTTCACAACCTAATTTCTGTAAACATGGTATAAGAGAGAATGTATAAGAACAAGTCTTATTTTGTATGGAAACATTGTAAATAAAACTTGCTTGACCAGAAACATGTCTTAATTAAAAGCTGAAACATCTTGAAGATTGGCATTAGCTGTTTTATTTGGTGAAGTCCTTGAAAGATTTTCTAAAAAGAGGCTTCCAAGTAATTGACACATTAAACCAGCTATTAATAAGCAAAGTTACTGTTCAGCAACATAAAAATTAGTCCTTCTAATACTACCACAATGAAACAGCCTACAGATATGCAATATCTGCTTCAGTAAAGTCCATGTACGATAAACCTGCACACAGCTAAAGGATCGAAGTCAAGTAACATATAAAGTGAGACAATTGAAAACCCTGGTCATTTTATGTAATATATATAATTGAATGCCTAGCAGGAATGGCAATTAAAAGTCTAACCTAATATGCACAAACACCAAATCTGTTGCATTAATTGCCTAAACACTAGAGAAATAATATAAAAATTACACAGTTATATATAATATCCTTAAAGTGCAAATGAACCCTT